ATGACCTCTGTGTGTGTAGTGTAGGAACTGCACATTTCCTGGCTGCAGCACCAAACCAGATGCAGAACACTGTCTTTCAGCTTGAGTCACGGCAAGCAGGCAGCACAGCCTCATGGCTCTGGGAGACAGGGCTGGAGAGCAGGGCAAGAGGCATCTCGCCACCCCTTGTTCTTTGGGGAAGAAGTGAGGGCTGATTACGAAACAAATGCACGTGTACAAGGAGTCTCTAATTTCCGACCTTCTCCTAAAATGGCAAAGCAGATCTTGAGAGAGTAAAAGCAGAGTCCTACTTTATCCATGCTTACGTTGTCCATGACGAACAGACAGTCTGAGAGTGAATAACTCTTACTGTTGAATGAATGAGGAAATCAATGAAGCCTCAAAGGGAAGATTCTCTCGGTGAAATGGCTATGGGGGAGCTGAGAGGCACAGGGGGTTGACCCACACAAGCATTCACTGGGTTATTCCCTGATTTTCCACTAACTGTTGAAATGTGAGCACCAAAATTTTAAGTCAGCTATTAGCAAGGCTGTTGTGAGGGTGTTTCTCAGAGTCTGTTTACAAAAATGGTTTGGAACTTCACACCAAGCGATACACAAATAACATGTGATGATCTGGATGTTTCTCACGGTTGTGGCACATATCTCCTTAGAATGAGGGCACATTTAGTACATTCTCACCTTACACAATTACTGCAGGCACATGGAATAAGTGTTTGCGATATAGATCATAACACAGATAACAGCTAAATGTTAGTTAGGACTTATTAAGTGCAGACTCTAGGCTAAGTGGCTTTCCATGTAAGACTCATGAGTCCTCCATACAATTACCTGAAATAGCTTACTATAACATTGCTACCAATAGTGTCAACGCCAGGACTCATACCCAAACTATCTGATTTCAGAGCCTAAAAGATGAACCACTATGTTATCTGACCAACAGCCTTCATTTACATTGATTATTGAAATAATCAATATTTGCACAATTGTGTATTGTTGTTTTTAAAAAGCTTCACTTTTCTTACCTGCTGAAAACCCTCTGTCAAGCATAGGTGACTATTTCTAAAACTGGTTCTGATGTGACTCAGATTTAATTTGAAGCTGTTCCCTATAGCTACGTGTGGAATTTGGGATGCCTATAACTGTCTTCCTCATTACTGTATCCATTTGGATACAGAAACATCCTGGAGTTACCTGGTCCAAACTCTGACAGTTTGGGTACGAGGCTTCTCTACCGGACTAAACTGAATACAGTGCAGCCGCATAGCGATGCCCAGCACCCAGCATCCATCCGGACCTCCACACAGACCTGGGGATATTTTTGAAAAATGAGGAAGTCTTGAAACCTCCTCCCAAGAAGGACAAGCATTATGCTCACTAATGACTCCAGAGCAGTTCTGGGGGCCACTTCAGACCGGCTCTGATGATGTCTTTCCATTCTGATAGAAACGATGCTTCTGGAACCATAAGAATGGAAGAAAAGCTGGAGAAGAGGATGGTGAGGATAAAAAAAGCAGAAAGGCTAGTCTTGCTTTTTAATCTAAAGGGACCTGAGGTTCTCTGGACTTGACAGATATGGGTTCTGGCTTCCTGTTCTTTCCGATGACAAGTGTGTCCTAAGTGGGTGGATCTGGGTCCCCAGAAAGCTCCAGTTTCTCCCCTTTGCCCTCTGCCTTTCTTGTTCTTCTTTTTCCAGCAATGATATACATGGAAAGGTGGGTGAACAGTCTGCCGGGCTTGCCTGAGGAAGGTCGAATTTGAAACTTGTAACTGTAATGACTGTTAACTATCCAGCTGGTCAGCAATGGTTCGTGGGGAGACCATCCCACTAAATGCCAAAGTAACCAGGAGTCCATATCAATAGGCAGCTTCCAAGGATTAAAATTCTTTTTTTTTAAAATAAGATTATTTTGGGCTGGCCCGGTGGCGCAGCAGTTAAGTTTGCACGTTCTGCTTCAGCGGCCCGGGGTTCGCCGGTTCGGATCCCAAGTGTGGACATGGCACCGCTTGGCAAGCCATGCTGTGGTAGGTGTCCCACATATAAAGTAGAAGATGGGCACAGATGTGAGCTCAGGGCCAGTCTTCCTTGGCAAAAAAGAGGAGCATTGGCTGCAGATGTTAGCTCAGGGCTAATCTTCCTCAAAAAAAAAAAATTATTTTGGAAATTTGAAGCTTTTGCCTTTAAGCACATCTCTTTTTTTTTTTTTGAAGATTTTATTTTCTTCCTTTTCTCCCTAAAGCCCCCCAGTACAGTTGTATATTCTTCGTTGTGGGTCCTTCTAGTTGTGGCATGTGGGACGCTGCCTCAGCATGGTTTGATGAGCAGTGCCATGTCTGCGCTCAGGATTCGAACCAACGAAACACTGGGCCACCTGCAGCGGAGCGCGCGAACTTAACCACTCGGCCACGGGGCCAGCCCCAAGCACATTTCTTAAAGATTTTATTTCTCCTTCTTCTCTCCAAAGCCCCCTGCTACATAGTTATATATATTTTTAGTTGTGGGTCCTTTTAGTTGTGGCATGTGGGATGCCGTCTTAGCATGGCCTGATGAGCAGTGCCATGTCTGCACCCAGGACCTGAACCTGCGAAACCCTGGGATGCTGAAGCAGCACGTGAACTTAACCACTTGGCCACGGGGCCGGCCCCCAAGGATGAAAATTCTTTGAGTACCAGAAAATCTGTCTAAGAAGAGAACTTCTAGGTGGTAAACAAGCAGGCATAGAGAGAGAGAGAGAGAGTGTGTGTGTAATTACCATATGTTCCCCAGACCCTCTCTTCAAGAGTCAGGAACTTATTCCCCCAACTACTGGGAATACTGGCTGCTGGCTGTTGAGACTCAGCTGATCCCTCTCTTGGAATTGCCTTCCACCAAAGGGAGCTGCCTCATCCCAAGATTACTTATCTACTCGCCAAGGGCAGCTCAGATCCAGTGACTGCAGGACACAGGCGAGGCCCCCTTGTCTGGATCTGAGACAACTCTAAAGAGCCATCCCAGCTCCAGGGCTCCCACGGGTCCAGTGTCACCCTCTGCCCAGCCCTGCCTTGCCCACTCCCTGAGCGAGGGGAGAGCACTCTCTTGAATCATCTCCCAAGATCACAAAGCCAGTCAACAGAAGAGCTGGGATTCAGATGCAAATCCACTTGACTCTCAGCCCTAGGTTTCCAGCAACTTCATCAAGTCCTTGACTTTGAGTTACAAAATACGTACCCTTACATCTTAGCCAGACATTCAAAGTCCCTTTTGACTTGTCCTTTCTAGCCTCACATCCCATCACTCACTCCCATACAACCCCTGGTCCAGTCACACCAAACTCTCCTTTCCCTGAACGTGTTACGCTTTCGCTTTCCCTGGAATCGCTCACTGTCCTTGTCTGCCGCATGACCGCCTCCTTCTACAGGTCTCGCTTCGAGTATTCCCTCTTCTGTGAAGAACTTCCCGACCCCTCAGTAGGGTCAAATCTCCAGCCTTCAAGCTCCCTGCACGGCTGTGCTCCCCGTAGCAGGGTGACTGTTAATTATTGTAATGAGTTTCTTGCAGGCAGGGACGTGTCTTTTAAATCTGCTTCCCCAGCCAGGCATTTTAAAGACGTTTTGTTGAATGAATAAATAAACGAACTCAACTGAGGCGCTGGTCCCACAGGCCTTGGCTGAATGGCTGCCAGCACCCCCACGACTGGGAAGCATCCCATAGCACCATGCAAATTTGGATAAACTGTGACCTTTTTGAGCACGAGGACTAGTTTTCCTTAACCTAGGTAGCCTTTCCAAGACCTAACACCGCCTCCTGCTCACAGAAGATGCTCGGAAACACCCAGTGAAACAAATGAGGTCTTGGCTGAAAGACCAAGAGAAAATTATTTCACTTTCAAGGCTCAGTCTAAAACATGTTTTAAAATCTCTACTTTTTAAGATACATGGGATATTTCTCTACCTATTTTATTCTCAATTAATATGCTTAGTTCCAGGTTTAAAAAATTTCTCCTTTGTTTGAAACATTTTTTTTCCTATTTAATAGACCAAAAGATGACTGAGAGTTTGCTACATTCCATTTCAGGTCAGAAATCGAACCTAACGTGGACACATCAAACGTGACCAAGAAGTCCAGCTGGCCTACTTAACACTACGTCTTTGTTTCTTAAGGGGCCTCTTTGAAACATAAATATGTCATTAATCTACAAGGTGTTTTTCCCCCCACTTTTTGAAACTAATAATTACTTACTGCACAGAGGTACAGATATTGGGATAGGCACCAAACACCACCAGTACAAAGCGGAGGGAGGGCAGCAGCGAACCCTTGTCCTATAAACATAAAAACCGAAAGCCAGGCTTCTTGAGCAAGTAGCTGCATTCTCTACACAGGAAATGGCCCAATTTTGCTATTATTCTCAACAAAAATGTCCAAACAACAGAAAAATTGCTGAGAGCCGGCTGAGACTAACAACAATGATAAGAAGCCTAAAAACCCAGTTCTTATTTTTTTAATGGATTTGGGGAGGAGGAAGCTCTCTGGCACATCAGGGACAGGATTTTCTGTGCCTGGTGGAATCTGTTTCACGTCTCTCTCTTCTGTTCCACTGCTGGTCTGGTGGGAGCGAGAAAAGACCGTGGTAACATTTTCCTGAGAAAGCAGCACATCTGGCTATCTTGTTCTTCACAAGTTTCTGATCACGTGTGAGCCCGAAACACAATTTTTAAGGCTCTTCCTCTCTGGTCTTATTTTTCATAACTGCAGGCAGGCCGTTCCCAAGGACAGAAGTGCAATTTGTAGGCACATGTCATTTCAAAATTGTTCACGTCACAGAATGAGTGTTCTGTTTAAGTATGCCTGCTCAGGTTTAACTTTTTATTCTGCATCTTTAAAATACTCATCATTTATTTATTTTTTTTACCTAATATTCATGGAGTATAATTAAGTAAATAAGACACCAAACCCTTCTCGGTTGTGGTTTCAGGCAAAGCGGCTGCGGCAAAGGCCACTGCGGCAGGATTCACAGAGTGTACCTTTTTAAACATCCTGGTGGAATCCTCACTGATCTGCATGAACCGCATGATCACGTTGTTCAGGTAGATGTCGCTCAGGGTGGCGTGGTCTTTGCTTTCTCTCCTCACTTGGTTCAGCAGCAGATACCAGCAGTTGACTGGAGACAACAAGTTCTGGTCTTTCCTAAGAAGGGAAGAAAGACAGAACCACCGTCAAAGTCAAAGCTGTCAGTGAGTGCGGGGAGTCACCACGGCAGACCAGGAGCCACAACAGACGGCTGCTGCGGCTGTTCCCCCTACCCCGGGCATGGCTCATGCCAAGACACTCGACAGCCAGCAGAACCGCCTTCCAGGCTGTGACGGCACAGAGCCAGCAATTCCCTAGGCGTGGAGGGAAACACTTGGACCAAGAACATCCCATAAACTCACACTCCTGACGAGGGTCACGGGCCCTAACACACACAGCACTCGGGCACACCTTCAGCCTGACATGCCCATCGAAGGAGCAGGGTATGTTTACACACAAACCTCCTGACTCCTGTCTCACAGACAGACTGTGGTTTGCCAGCGCACACAAAGTCGGCTTTGAATGTTCAGGCTGTGGTTGGAAAAGAGAGCTGGCTAGGTATGCTGTCCACGGAACACAAATTTGAGGGTTATTTATTAATCCCCTGATACATAACCTCCAGCCTCCCCAAAAAGTGTTCCCAGGAATAAGAACGTCATAGCCTTGTCCCAGGGCTCATAAACAGAACCAAGAAGTCTGCTGGCTCGTGACTTATCACATGTCCTATTTAAACCCATTAAACTATTGCAGATTTGTAACTACACCTTGCTTTGTTCTAGATAATAAGGCTAAAGGTGAACAGAAACCACGAAAGATGACTTGTAAAAGATCTTAAAGAACAACTCTGAACAAAAACAGTGACCAACTGGGATGTTACTGCTTCCAAAAAGGAAAAAAAAAAAAAAAAATCAAAGTACAATGTTTTTTTTTTTTTACTTTACAATCTAACTGTAAATTGCAAAACGGCACGGAATGTTTATCCCAACTCAAGGATACTGGCGCCCTTTTATCAGACGTGTTATCCTCCCATTACTCATGATCATTTATGACTCTAAATATTAGTTAAATTTGGAAAGAAATCATTAAGTCGAGTCTTTCTGTGATTAAGTCCTGCAGATTCAGGCTTTAACGCTGCATCAAGTCGAAACCCTCTGAGAAGAAAGATGGAGTAGAGGACTGAAGTGGGATGGGTGTTGGGAGAACTCCTGATCCAGGGTCCTAGCACTGTGCCCGTGGAGATGCCCCCGTCCTCGCGCTGGCACACTGGGAATCACACCCCATCTGGAGAACCCGCTTTCTGCTCTGAGCTGTGGGGTGGGGGCCGCGGCTGCACGGCCGACAACTGGCGCTTGTCTGCCACACTCTCTCCACCGGGCAGAGGGGTGCCCTTCTACGTTAACTGTTAGTACATCCTTCAGGCTGAAGTAGCCCATAAATTCTCTGCGAACACTTCATACTTTTTCCCATCCTCCCTGCCCTGCCCATGGTAAGCATCAAATAAGTTACTACAATCATTGAAAAAAGCGCATTATTGCCTTAATAAGTGATAATAATATCAACAACAACAACAATAACCAGGGCAGCAGCTTTCATTCGCTGAGCACCTACCGGAAGAACCAGCACACACAAGTCAAGAGCAGAGAACACGGAGCTGTACTATTCAGGTTCGAATCCCAGAACCACCACTTCCTGGCTGTGTGATCTTGGCCAAATTATTTAAATCTCTTTGTGCCTCCGCCACTTCATTTGTAGAACGGGTAAAATAACAGGACTTATCTCATAAGGTTATTATGAGGATTATCTGAGTTACTATGTAATTTTAACGCTGACTAGAATGCCTTAGGCCCGTAGTAAGTGCTGTATAAAGTCAGCTGTTTTTAGCCAGCAGCTGGTCTAAAGACTTACACACACTCACTCCGCCTCATCCTGACCACTGCATTTTAAGGCAGAGATTCCTGTATCCCTCCGTCAACGAGAGAACCAAAGCTTAGCGAGGGGCAGTGATCTGCGGAAGACCAAAGCTAGTATTAGAGTCTGTGAGTCCAGGGAGGCTGATCTGAGCCTTGGTCTTTCAGCCATGCAGTCGGAACCTTGGGCCAAGGATTGGTCCACACAGTGAGCATCCTCAAACTGAGGAAGAGCCAGACTCCACGGTTCAGCTTAAATGACTGGTAAGGTTCGGGTGCTAAAGGTTTAACACTTATTTGGTGAAGAAGACAAGGAATATTGAGTGCATACCCCAAGCCAGCTATCAATCACATCAAGGACTCTGTCATGTTTCTCATTTAATGGTCATATAATCTTATTTTACAAATTAGGAAACCAAGGCTCGGAGAGGTTGGGCAACTTGACCAAAGTCACACAGTAGAGCCAGCATTCAAACCAGGTCTGTCTGACACTTTAATAAAACCTGTCTTTGATTTTTTTTCCTAATCCTGGTTTGTCCTATCTATAGACATTATCCATCTTATCTTCAGTCCCACATTCAATAATAAACTTATTCAAGTCAAAGGAAACTCCAAGCTGCTTATCTTTTGACAAAAACTAGTAAATAAACCAGGAGAAACCAAAAGCTGATCCACTAAAGGATGAGACTAGGGGGCACGGCCCACGCTGGTTCCAGTTCACAACCAATGACCAAGTGCAGAACACAGAAGACATTCAACAATGCTTACTGAGTGGGTGAATGGGCTGTCTTCTTATTTGCAATCACTTTAAAGAGGGACGGTCACTATAGTGAATATAGCACTGGCTCCCGTCTCCTCTTTCCAGCTCCAGTCTCCGTCAAACACATTTGACATTCGTTCACCCTGGGAATCATCACTAAGATTTATCTCTATGCTGGACCAACACAAGAGGTTAAAGTCATCCAAAAAAAAAAAAAAAAAAGAACCTGAAACTAAGATATACAACTATGTACCCTGGGGGGATTTGGGGAGATAAAGCAAGGAAAAAAAAAAAACCTGGTTAAAATTAAAAAAAAAAAAAAAAAGAGAGAGAGAGAGAGAGAGAGAGAAAGACCCCCTGTCCAGAAGAGCTCTGCATTTGCTTCTGCAAAAGTACCCCAGGGGCAGTTCTCACCCTACTTTTTATGTAGCCTCCAAAGCCAAGGAAGGGTGCAAATGAGGCCGCTGGTGAAGGCCACGCCGGGCTTCTCTGCAGCCCTCTCATCTGGAGTGCAGGCTGAGAGCAGACTGCCTGCCTCTCTGCAGGTGGGCAGGGGTCCTCTGATTCACCACCTCACTGCCACAGGAGATGCTCTGGGCCTGAGTTTGGGCTAGGATGCAGTGCGATAGGGCTAGTGGTGGGGAAGCCCTCGGTCCCAACTCTTTAGCCTGCACAACCCTCATCTTCTGTCCCCACGTGGGACCAAAGGGTGGATACAACCCCCACATCGCTTTTCAGTTCCCTCTTCCTTTTTTGGCCCCTGGAAATTTCCCTTACTTTCCTATGAGTTCCATGATACATTTAAAACAATGTCGACTATGTTCTAATCAGCATTTCTGGGAGTTTTGTAGCAGAAGTATTTTTCAGATTACCTAGTCCTGTATTTCCAGAAATGAAAGACTGTGCTGCCCTTTTCATATCTCTGAAACATACCTATTTCTTTCTACCTCCAGTGTTGCTGGTTTATGCCATTACCGCAAGAATCCCCTCATGGTCTCTCTCCTTCGACTATATCTTCCTCCAGTCCACGATACTATCTATGGGCTTTGTCATCATTTTAAAATGCAGGTCTGAGCTGGTCATCCTTTACTTAAAACTCTCCAAAGGCTTCTCACGCTCTCAGGATAAAGTCCAAATTGACCAGTGTGGTCCACAGGCCTCAATGATCCCGCACAATGTGTGCGTGTACCTTGACAGCTCACCACCTCACTACTGGCTCCCACCGGAATACTTCCTGTTCCGCAAAGCTGCCCTCTACCCTTCCCTTCTGGCCCCTTGTGTATGACGTTCCCCCTTCCTGGTCCCCTCTGGTCCCCAGTCCTCCAGGCCTTCACCTATGTATCACTTCTTCCAGGACTTTTCCTTGACTGTCCATCCTCACTTCCCTATAAAATGGATTTCCGTCCGGTCGACGTAACGGCATCCTGCGCTTACTCCTCTTGTAACGCTGTATATTCTATGGGAGTTGTCTGCCTACTTGTCTCTTTCTATCTCTTGGATTTAAATTATAAAATAAATCTCATTATCAGAAAAACCTGAATGTATTTTTTTAACACATGAAGTACAATTAATATAAAGTTTAATTATACTCAATCATAAGCATTTTACCGAAGATTCTTGTCCTAAGTCAGTCTCAATTGCAATGATCACAAACATGATGGCTATGGGACGGGGACTAAGCTTAAACAACCCTTATTGCTCATTTTCATGTACGATCACTACAGAAATCCTGAGGTCTCTGGTTGAGGAAGCAGCTCTTTTAAATGTGCCCATTCAAATATCTACCTGTGGTAGATATCAACTCCCAGGTTTTTTGTAATCATGAATTTTATAAACACACATTTTTTCTTCTCATAAAGTTAATCACAAATACATATCTATTGGAAAGAGAAAAATATCGAGAGAATACCATTAGTTTAAAATGTGATAAATTGATGCTCATAAATGATAAATGCAGAGGGTTGCTTGTACTTATGGGGATCTGCCAATCAACAGCTTACCAGACAAAAGTGGAAAATTCTAAAACCAGTAAGGGTGGTAAAAGGTAGGATGTCACCTTGGAAAGGTGAATTTGAATCACGTCTCTCTTACTTGTATTGTTGATGATCCTTAGTGCTTCTCGTTTTTGCCATGAACCTTTCAGCTAACTTCTCTAGGTTCCGAGAATATTCCGTCTCAATTTCTGCTTTTTTCCGGAAGAAATCTTGCAGGTCCTGGAGAAGCTGAACTCGCATCTCCGTTTGCTGCTCCAGGCATTTCTGCTGTTCTACCAGTTGAGCTCGGATTTCTAAGGAGAGAAGAGAATCCATTTGATGATTTCACGAAAATGACTGAGGTGTGCTGGTCCGTGCAAGGTGAAAGTAATGCATCCTATTATACATTTACCTCTGTATTGGACCTTTACGAGACTGTGGTCCAGGTTGGGTCTTTAAATAAGATATCTGCTGACTCTTTAAAAGAATGAGACAAGCTTCAGGAAAGAATGTAATAAATTAGAGTAGAAACATGGGTTGCATTTGCAATGCTACAAACACGCATGCAGTCATCAGGGAAAGAAATTGAAGCCTTTTAGATAACAATTCGTAACATGTGACATCTTTGAGCAGCTGAGCACATTGTAATTTTTTTCAACAGCATTTTTACCTCAACTATCCCTTTTGAGTTTGAAAGGCAAAAAAGTGAGCATCATTTCTTCCAGACTTCTGAAGCACCACACACCGCCAGTTGGCACACACAGACACTGACATCTGGGAATTTTCATTTCGTGTCTAAATGTCTACTTTGTAAAACACATAGCTTCAAGTTTTACAGGGATGCCCCGTGCCTAAAAATAATTCCTTTCTATATCCAAATAATCTGTTCATAACGGGGTGACGCTCAGATTCCACTTCAGTACGCTGTTCGCAGCAAAGGTCTTCACTTGGCCCTCGCTTTTTATACATTGTGCAAACCAGCAGCCTTATCGACACATATAATCCTGAAAAGAATCTTTTGACAATTTTAATGATGAGGAACGCGAAGCTTAGTCATCTAGTGATTTAACTGAAACACGAAAGCAAAAAGTGTGTCATGCAAAACCATCTGTAAATGACTGTAACAATGAAACGTGTGTGTTTTGGAAAATAAGATACAGTAACTAATAACAACTGAGCTGTTTTTGTTCTAAGACCCAGGGCTAACCTCCAAAGACAAGACTGTTCAGACTGGAAAACTTCTTTATTTCATTTTCCCCAGCGTCAGTGGATATTCCCCAAAAGTGAGGGCTGCATCTAATTCAGTGGTGTTAACAGAAATCAATGTCCAAATAACACCTCCTCAGTCTCCTTTTATTATTTTTCAATAGAGAAAGACTGAGCTGACGATATACATGCATATGCTTGACCACGTTTAATCAAGCTCATTAACAGCACAGTGCTGGGGCCGGCCCACTGATGCAGCGGTTAAATGCACGTGTTCTGCTTCGGCGGCCCGGGGTTCGCCTGTTCAGATCCCGGGTGCGGACATAGCCCCACTTGGCAAGCCATGCTGTGGTAGGCGTCCCACATATAAAGTAGAGGAGGATGGGCACGGATGTTAGCTCCAGGCCAGTCTTCCTCAGCAAGAAGAGGAGGATTGGCAGCAGATGTTAGCTCAGGGCCAATCTTCCTCAGATAAATAAATAAACAGCACAGTGGTGAAGTTCTGAATGGGGAGTCGGCAAATATGCTCAATATAATGATAGCTAATAACCATCGAACACTTACCATTCTACACCTCACTGAAGTAGGTTCTATCATTACCCCCACTTTACAGAGAACAAAACTGAGGTTTCCGGAGATTCAATACTTTACGCAAGGACTTCAGCTAGCGAGTGGCACCCCTGGGGCCTCTAACCCAGGTCTGGCCGTCAGATTCACGGAACTTCTGCCCACCTCCCATCCACGCTGCATGTGTTGCGCGTCCACAGTGTGCCAGGCCCACATCCTGACAAAGAAGATACAACAACTAGGAACCAAGGTCTCTGCCCTCGGTGAGGTCAGGTCGCAGGCAAACCCTGGGGACAGCCTGCAGGAAGAGACGGAAGCACTGCTCAGACGTCCTCTCTTGGTTTCTCCACTTCTGGATTGGGGGATCCTATTGTTAATCCCACACAAGTGTGGTGAACACCAGAGGGACGACGTTATTACGGCTTTTAACTACCAGGAACAGCATCTGGTTTTTAGTCCATCAAAGTAAGTGTTTTTCAATACAGTATTATAATCAACGTGTCTGCCAAACTCTTTCCCCCACAAATACAGAACTATTTTTGTTTCATAAAGAAAAAAAAAAAAATCAAGGGTGGGTATTTCTCATTCACAAATTCCAGTCAGTCTTTTAAGATGAAGTAATTTTAGCACATCTTGCTGTGCTAAGAGAAAATAAATCAATCGTCCTAGGCTGTCAACTAGTTTTCTCTGTTTTTCAGTCTTTTGGGTTTCTTTACAGTTGCCTTAGTGCCAAATAAGAAATAAAAGTGACTGAGAGTATAAATCTCATCAGAAGTACACAAAAATTATATGGGCTTCCTTCTTGGGTCTCATTCTTAGATTTTCTCCTGCTTGTTTCCTTCGGGATTTAAAATCAAGAACTAGGGAGTTTTGAGAAGGAGGACTCTCTTTCAACAGTTAAAATCTATCCTCATTTTGCAAGGAGTAACTGTTACTTCATGTTATCTGTAATTTTCCAGTCAAAATATGACACCAGCAGCATTTTCAATAGTGGAAATATGGAGGGACAGAACCTAGGGTATCATTGTGAGAAAATAAATTATGCTTCAAAAACTAGAGAAGGAAAATCCATTCCATTACCTCTTTAATTTCGAAAAGTCTAAGACAAATGAGGAAAAGATCACAAAAAAAGATCATAAGAAAAAGAAACAAATATAAAAGTACTACCATAAGAAATGCTTGTTAGGAAGACAAAACTTTTGGATTCCTCACACCATATCAGAGCTGTAAGGCAGCATAATACAGTAGATCACCTCCCCGCACGTATGGTATGGCTTTATTAATGTGACCTTCACGAGATTTGGGCTAACCTAAAATGGCACTGAAGAATTTAACAGATTGTGAAATAAACGCTTAGTCATATAAATCTTGGTCCATTGCTCAGAAGAGATGAAGGAAGCCTGTGGTGCACTGGTCCCCACACTGTATGAATCATGTGATGGGACCACAGGTGCCTACAGGGTGTAGCCCCACTGACATCCCGGGTACCAGAGAATCACTAGGGCGGCAACAGCTGAAAGCATCACATCAAGGAGTGATTTCTAGAGAATCTGTGAGTCTTGCTTCTGTTGAAGAGGCTGTAGCTTGCGTCCTACCTGCAGATTCTTTAAGGGCACTCTTCCTAGGCCCTTTATTAGCTTTCTTGGATTAGTATTGACCTGCATCTTTTTTTTTTTTTTTTTTTTACAGATCTAAGCTGCATTTTAGTTTAGTGACCAAGACACTACTGAGCTCCTATTTTGTGTTAGGCAGGGTCCAAGGCACTGGAGTTACAAGTATTTCTTAGACACAGCTCCTTTTGGTAGGGAAACCAAATCCTAAACTGATGCTATCAATACACTGTGCCCAGTGCTATAATAAAGGAACGCGCCAGGAAGCTATGGGCAGAGGAGCCGATCCAGATCATGGAAGCGCTTGGAAGATATCAGACCCCACAGGATAAGTAGGTTACAAGATAAGACGGCTGCAACTACGAAGAAAGTGAAAAGACAACCCATAAAAAGGGAGAAATGATTTGCAATTTACATATCTATTAAGGAACTCCTATCTAGAATATATAAAGAACACTTACAACTCAATAACAAAAACACAAATAACCCAATTTAAAAAATGGGCAAAGAATCTCAACAGACATTTCTCCAAAGAAGATATACAAATCGCCAATAGCACACGAAAAGTAGCTCAACATCATTAGCCACCAGGAAGATGCAAACCAAAAGCACAACGAGGGGCCAGCCTGGTGGCGTGGTGGTGAAGTTCACGTGCTCCGCTTCGGCAGCCTGGGGTTTGCAGGTTCGGATCCCAGGCGTGGACCTAGCATCACTTGTCAAGCTACACTGTGGCAGCATCCCACATAAAATAGAGGAAGATTGGTACCAATGTCAGCTCAGTGACAATCTTCCTCAAGCAAAAAGAGGAAGATTGGCAACAGGTGTTACCTCAGGGCCAGTCTTCCTCACACACAAAAAAAGCACAATGAGATACCACTTTGCACCCACTAGGATGGCTATAATCAAAAAGACAGACAATAGCAAGTGTTTGTGAGGATGTAGAGAAACTAGAACCCTCATATATTGCTGGTAGGAATGTAAAATTGTACAGCCACTTTTGTAAAACAATCTGGCAGTTCCTCAAAAGGGCAATGTACAGCAGATAAAGACTGAGCAAATCTACGCCTAGGTATATATCCAAGAGAAATGAAAACATATTTCCACACAAAAACTTACAGCAGCGTTATTCATAATAGCTGAAATGTGGAAACAACCTAAATGTCCATCAACTACTGAAGAGAGAAACAAGATGTGTTATAGCCACACAATGGAATATTATTCAGCCATAAAAAGGAATGAAGTACTGACTCATGCTACAGTATGAATGAACCTTGAAAACAGAAGCACAGTGCATGAAACTAGTCACAAAAGACCACTGCTGGGCCATGAACGTGAAATGTCCAGAATACACTAATCCACAGAAGCAAAGTACATTCGTTGTTGACTAGGGTGGAAGGAGTTGGGGAAATGGAGGTGACTGCTAAGGGCTGCGGGCTTTCTTTTTGGGGTGATGAAAACATTCTGAAAGTGGCTGCAGTGATGGTTACTAAACTGTGAATATACTAAAAACCAATGAATTGGACGTGCTACACGGGTGAGTTGTATAATACGTGACTATCTCAATATAGCTGTTAAAAAAAAAAAAAGAATGCCGTATCACAATTCCATGAACTTTTGGTTGTTGAGACATTTCTGAGAATGATGATAATAGTAATAACAACAAAGTAACTCCTCATATTTCCTAGTACTTTTTAGTAGTTCATCAAACTAGACGACACAAACAGGCATGCACTTTAAAACAATGTTTTCACAGAACGGCACTTGCTTCAATGTTTTTCCTTCATCCCGAATTTATCTATAAACCCGAACAGTAAATGCACTTACTGGCTAGCATCATTTGTATATTAATTGTTACAATTTCTAACGGTATAGAAAAGATTTACCTACTAGAACACCAGCAAGGGCTTGTCACCAGGACTCCCACACAACTA